ACCACTTCAGGAATCAGCAGACCAACAATGTACTATCCATGTTAAAAAGGAAGGAAAGTAAGTGTGTAGAGAAATAGCTGTTTTCATCATCTACAGGAAAAGAAAACTAGTATAACTTCAGTGAAGAACAATTCAATGACATGAACCAAAGTTATAAACCAACATACTCTTTGATCCAGCAATTTGGCTTCTGGAATATGTAGATATATATGTATGAAATAACACAAGCAAAAATTAACTATTGCAGCATTATCTGTAATAGCATATGTGTGAAAACAAAGTAAATGCCCATTAATGGGGGATAAATTATGGTATATCCATCAGCCTTTAGAAAATAAAAAAAGATGAGGGAGCTTTTTATGCATTCATATGGAAAGATATCCAAGATATATTAAGTGAAAAGTAAGCAAAGTGGATGGGTATATAGTGTTATAACAATTACATAAAAGTGACAGATATTTTATATATTTTATATATAATTAAATGTAAACATGCACACATAATATATAAATATAATATACAAATATATAATATAATATATTATATAATATACAAATATATAATATATTATTTTTATATATTATATATTTATTTTTATATTTTATATATTATATATTTATATATTATATAATATATTATACAATATATAAATAAACACATTCTCTAGGAGCTTTCTTTAAAAAAATGGAAATGGAAAGAAATATATAATATATTATATAATATAAAAATATATAATATATAATATATAAATATATAATATATTATATATAAATATATAATATATAATATATACTATATATAAATATATAATATATATTATATTTTTAAATATATTTTTAAATATATATTTTTTAAATATATAAATATATATTATATTATATTATATAAAAATATTATATATTATATATTTATATTATATTAATTTATATTTATTATTTTATAAATTTAATAAAATTAATTATTTATCATTTACAATAATTTATATTTTCATAAATAATAATGTATAATATATACTTATAAAAATATATAAATGATTACATATTATAAATAATAATTTATAATTTAATTAATAATTAAATATGTAATATTAACTTATTATTATTTAAATAATTTATAATATATTTAATATAATATAAATATATATTACATTATATATTTATATATAAAAACATGTTATACATTATGCAATATATTAAATTATATAATATATTTATATTAATATTTTCTATTATATATTATATCATATACTATATCATATTAATATTTATGTATTATATAAGTATATAATATATTTATATATTTGCATATAATATATAAATATGAAAATATATAAATATAAAAAATAATATATAATATATAAATCTATATTTATATATGCATATACAATATATACTTACATTTATATACATGCATGTTTATTTTATATTTAAACCAATTAACTTTTTATTGAAGTATAAGAGTGAATGTGAGTGTAATCTCCAAGAATTTTCATAAACTGAACACACCCATGCAACTGGCATCTAGATCCTAGGTCCTGAATCAAAAAACAGAACATTGCCATCATCCCAGATACCTCATCATTCCCTTCTAATCAATGCCTCTCCCCTATGAGAGAGAAGATTTCTATAAGCATAAGTTAGTTTTATTTATTTTTGTACTTTATACAAATGAATTCATGCAATATGTACTCTTCCATATCTGGCTTTTTTCATCCAACATTATATTTGTACACTCTTTAATTTCATTCCCATTTAGTATTACATTGCATAAATGTGCCAAAATTTATTTATGTATTCTACTATTTATGGATATCTGGGTAATTTCCAGATTGAGACTATTATAAACACCACTGCTATGAACATTCTAGTAGATGCATACACATGTCCACATACCGAAGCAAGGAATTACTGGGTCATGGGGTCTGCATATCTGCAGTTTTAATAGACACTGACATACAATTTACAAAATTGATTGTACCAATCAACACTCCCATGAGCAGTGTATAAGAGTTCCTGTTGCTCCAAATCCTCACTCGCACTTGGTATATTCTTTTTAATTTTATTCTTTCTACTATTTGGACAGTAGTGTTGCACTGTGAATAAAATTTGTGATTCCCTGATAATGAATGATGTTGAGCACCTTTCAGCTCTTTTTCAAGGTATCTAAGTCCTCTTCTCAATTTTTCCATTGCATTGTAAGTCCTTATTGTTTTAAATTTTAAACCACGTGAATATGGTTTTAAAAAGTAAATTTAAAACTAATGTAATTAACAATACAAATAAATTCCATAAAGTTCTATGCTTCATGTTCTCTCCTTCTTAGAGATGTATATTAGCATTTCAAAAGCTCTGAAAAGTTCTACATTTTTCGCCACCACAAAACAGTTTAGAGAAATGTTTTTTCCCTTCTGATATAATTTTCATGGAATTAACAATTGTCTCCTTCTTTTTACTTGTATTTTTTTACAATTCGTTCTCCAATTTTATCCCAGATTTCATTAGATCTATCCAACATCTATCTATATAATTTCTCAAATACTCAAATTAGATAATCTATCATTTCAATTACTGTAACTACTGTTTTCTCTTAAAGTCTGCCATCTCCCTGTTCAGTGAAAATGGGTTGCTCTCCAATTCTGTCGTATTTCTCTCATTCTGGAGTTTCCCTTCTTAATTTCCTGGTCCTGTTTTCTGGATCCCATGTCTTTCTTTTTCTAGGCCTACTCCCATGTTTTGCTGAACACATTCTCTAGGAGATTTCTTTAAAAAAAAAAAAAAAGGAAATGGAATGAAAGTATTTCATCTTTGTATATGTGAAAATGTTTTTATTCTGCCCTTATATTTGACAGATAGTTTGACTATAGAATTCTAAGTTGGAAGTTACTGTCCTTTAGAATACTGAAAAAATTTCACTTCATTATATTTTAGGATAACAGTGACTTAGTAACATTGTTAAGAAATCCAATGCCATTCTAATTCCCATTCCTTTAATTTTTGTTTCTGCCCTTTGAAAACGTTTAGAATCTTCCCTTTATTCTTAATGTTCTCACCTTTTTAATGATGTGCTTTAATGTAAGTATTTTTACTTGGTGGGCCCTTTAAATATGAAGACACTGGCCCTGGCAAAATTTTTTAAACTATTATTTTGATCATTTCTTCTCTGTTTATGCTTTGTTCTCTTTTTCTAGGACTCATGTTTTTAATTAATTGACTGGATAAATATGTCAGGCCTCTGAGCCCAAGCTAAGCCATCATATCCCCTGTGACCTGCACGTATACATCCAGATGGCCTGAAGCAACTGAAGAACCACAAAAGTGAAAATAGCCAGTTCCTGCTATAACTGATGACATTCCACCATTGTGATTTGTTCCTGCCCCACCCTAACTGATCAATTGACCTTGTGACACTCCTTCTCCTAGACAAGGAATCTCAGGAGCTCCCCACTGAGCACCTTGTGACCCCCGCCCTTGCCTGCAAGAGAAAAGCCCCCTTTAACTGTAACTTTCCACTACCTACCCAAATCCTATTAAGACTGCCCCACCCCTATCTCCCTTTGCTGACTCCTTTTTCGGACTAAGTCGCCTGCACCCAGGTGATTAAAAAGCTTTATTGCTCACACAAAGCCTGTTTGGTGGTCTCTTCACACTGACGGGCATAACAGAATGAATGGATAGAAAAGTTTTCTGAGTACTTTTTAAGAAAAAAGCTTATTGGCCGGTGGCTCAGGCCTCTACTCCCAGCACTTTGGGAGGACAAGGTGGCCGGATCACGAGGTCAGGAGTTTGAGACCACCTTGGCCAACATGGTGAAACCCCGTCTCTACTAAAAATACAAAAATTAGCTGGGGGCCGGGCGCCTGTAATCCGAGCTACTTGGGAGGCTGAGGCAGGGGAATTGCTTGAACCAGGGAGGCGGAGGTTGCAATGAGCTGAGATCGGGCCACTACACTCTAGCCTAGGTGGCAGAGCAAGACTCCCTCTCGAAAAGAAAAAAAACAAAAAAAGTGTATTAAGCAAGAAAGCACAGAGCATCAGACCATATATTTAGTGCTGAACATTTTATTATAAATGATCAAAAAATTTTAACACACTGTCGTTTACAACCTCCCACTATTGTAAAACCTAACATTGCTACTTTCATTTCAGGTAATGCAAAAATACGAGACGCATTAGCTGTCTGTAGGCAGAAATCTGTTCGAGTCATTCCTTATTACTGAAGCCCTAGAATTAATTAAACATCTAGTATGGACTTGGTATTGTATATAACATTTGCACTCATATCTTACAAAATAGTCACCTAAGTAGAAAGGTGTTCAAAGCAGCAAGATGGAAAAACGTTTGCAGTCTTTTTCGGTTGGCATGACACACTGACTGCATTCCTCCCAGATTTATAAGAAAGAATTATTTGCAGTCTTACCTGGAGTCAGAGGGATGGACTCTCTCAAGGTTATTTTTCACTCTCTGCATATATATACTTACGGAAGTAAGAAAGAAGAGGAAGAAAGGCAGATCCCACATAACAGCGGTTAAACACCTGAACTTGCTCCACTATGACAGGGTTTATCATCCATCTCTCAGTCCTGAAGTGACTGGAAATATGGAAATTAGAGTCCAGGTAGACAGGTGAGTGTACAACCTCTTAAGTGTGGAGCCCTCGGAATTCACAATACCCCCAAATCGCTTCCTGCGCAGGCGCAGAGTCGGGAGGGAGTCAGAAAGCAGAACCCCGAGCCCCCTAAGAAAGACCCCAGCCGGACGCTACAGCTACCGGGATTGGCAACTTCCGGAAGACCTGTGGCCCAGAGAATTTTGGCGGTCGGGGTGAGGGTGAGGGTGGGGGATGGGGGTGGGAGTGGGGGGAGGGGTGGGGGGAGGGGGTTGGCGGCTAACCAATCCGACACCCGCCAGCAGGCTGAAGAGAGGGGCTTCCCAAAAGCAAAACTTTCCCAAACCTGGGGGATGGGAAGAGAAGACAAAAGGAGCGCCTCTGGCTCCCTTTCCCACTTCCCGGCCGCCCGCCCCAGCCCTCGGCCTCGGCTGCGCGACCCGGGCGGAGGATCCCGGTCGCAGGCCGAGGCGAGAGCCAGGCGGAAGGGCCGCGAGCGGGCTGCCCCTCTCCCCGCCTTGCTGTCCGCAGCTGACGTAGCCTGCGAAGTTTGGGGAGGGAGGAGCTCAGGCGGCCTGAGCTGGTGGCGGTGCGCGCCGGGGAGGGCCGGCCGGGGCGGCGAGAGAGGAAGCTCCTTCGCGGCGCTACGGCGTTGGCACTAGTCTCTAGAAAAGAAGTCAGCTCTGGTTCGGAGAAGCAGCGGCTGGCGTGGGCCGCCCGGGGAATGGGCGCCCTCGTGACCTAGTGTCGCGGGGCAAAAAGGGTCTTGCCGGCCTCGCTAGTGCAGGGGCGGATCTGGGCTCCCGAGCGCGGCGGGGGAGCCTTGGGAGCCGCCGCAGCAGGGGGCACAACCGGAACCGGCCTGAGCGCCCGGGACCATGAACGGGGAGGCCATCTGCAGCGCCTTGCCCACCATTCCCTACCACAAGCTCGCCGACCTGCGCTACCTGAGCCGCGGCGCCTCGGGCACTGTGTCGTCCGCCCGCCACGCAGACTGGCGCGTCCAGGTGGCTGTGAAGCACCTGCACATCCACACCCCTCTGCTCGACAGGTAGGCAGCCAATGGGGTTCCCGGGAAGAGCCCCCAACTATCCTGCATCCCCTCAAGCCCCCTGACAAGCGGGCTCTAGAGCCCAAATGGCAGTGACCGCTTGGGGCCGGCCCACCTCGTCACCTCTAGGCAGCCCTTCAAGCTTGGGAGGTAGGGAGCACCGACCCTTCAAGCTCTGGCACGGTAGGGAGCACGGGCTTCTCTGGAGATGCAGCAGTTGCATTCCTCCACGCATCTCTCGATTTCCCTTTCTCTCCTTCCCTCTTACTCCTAAGCGTTCTCTCTCCGTACTCCAAAAATCAGCAATCACTGCCTAACTAAACGCCGGGTTTATTGAAATTGGTGTGTGTTTATATGTAGTGGGTGTGGGTTTTGCTTGCTTTGTTTTTTCCTTATTTTTGAAATCGGGCTGTAGGGCTGCACTGTCCAGTAGGTAGCCCTTAGCCACAGGTGAGTACTGAGCACTTGAAATGTGGCCCGTCCGAATTGAAATGTGACCTAAGTGTAAAATACCAGAGTTCGAATGCTTAGTATTTATTTTTAAAAACTTGTAATATTTTATTAATATTTGTTTATTGATTATATGCTGAAATGATAATATTTTTGATATCTTGGGTTAAATATAAGATTAAAATTCATTTTAATGTGTTTCTTTTTACTTTATGTGGCCATGAGAAAATTTTAAATTGTATGTGGTGGTTTTCACATTATATGTTTATTGGACAGAGCTGCTTTAGAATCTAGGATGTTTTGCTTTTTATTGTTTTTGTTTTGTTTGTGGTTTATTATGTGTTATCAGGAACGTTTTATATCAAACTCAATACAATTCAGTTTCTCCCACTCTCAGTTTCTCTCACGGGAAGATTGTTAAGTAGAGGAAATGTGTGCTATTTTTGCCACAATAAATTGAACCAAAAGACTGTTAAATGGCCAGAAATTGTAAATGGCTTTCACTTACTGGTTTGTACAGGTTTTAAGGGAAGGTTAACATTAGTTTCTGTTTTCAGAAGAAGATTACAACCACGTGCCATAGACCTGTAACTGTGTATTAGTCAATGGGTCTGGTCACTAGTCTTGTGTATTTTACTTCCTACAGGGATTTAACTAGGCCCTGCATTCAGTTCTTAGTGAGTTAACATCCATGATTACAACATTCTCTTCTCCTCCTCCTATATCTAATGTGAAAATACGTCATCACAGATGCCTGATTGGCCAGAAGCTGTGAGTATCCAGTATCAGATAAATTCCTCAGCTTCTGCCCTGCCAAAGTTACTGGATTTTCACCTACCTGTGACTTTTCTTCATTGTCTCACTGTCAGGCTTGGATGGCCTAAATGGCACAGGAGATCTGGGACACCTCTAGAGCTTGTTTCCACTTCTTTTCTATCATAATCCAGATTCAGTGATACACAAGGTGTGGTGTCTGTTTACTCTGGGCCTTATGTTCTGTGGCGCAAGTGCTGGGCAAGTGTGTATATGTGTCTGCAGTCAACTTTTAAGGGTGGTGGTTGGAGAGGATGGATATATGTTAGAACCAGTTATGCAAACACTGTATGGAAATATAGCACTGATGGACCCAATAGGTATTGAAAAGCCAATTGATCCTCCCACTTTGGGTGCTGCTTCTCAGGATTTTAGTTTATCTAAGCTTTGTACAGTTTGGGGACCTAGAAGTGAAGAGGGAGTTTCTTTCCCATACTCATGAACAATTTTCATAGTCTAAAATTCTTCACTGAATTGGGTAGGAAATTAATTCTGTCTTTGAGGAAGCCATAAGACCAGTGAAACACTCTAGCATTACTGCATCACATTCTTTTTTCCAATTTGTTACTTAAGATCTTATCAGTGCAGTATTTATGTAGTCTGAGCATTAGACTACATACAACTATGCAGTTGACTCACTGGTGTCTCTTTCGTCACTTATAAAATAGGAATAATAAATACATGTGTGTCTCGGGCTATGGAGAAGAATGTTTGCATTGTTCTTTGGGATGACCTGAAAGAAAAATAAGTTTATGCAATGTTACATGCCCTTATTTTAATGATTGGTGAATCAGTCTCCATAATCTGACTTCTGTCCAATTAGTGGACCTTCCCCAACAATCTTCCCACCCCTTATGAGTAATGAGTCCAATTGGTTGTTCAAATACCCTGTAGATGACGTAACTTTTTTGATTAAATTTTTGAGTTAATTTTGGTGATGTGACTATAGAAGCTGTATTTTATGCCTTTATTTTCAAAATATAAAAATCAACTTTTACAATCTTTTGGCTTTAAAAAAAAAATTCCTACTCACTCAATCTTGCCAAAAATCTATCTTCAAGAACTGTCCAACTATATTCTTTGATCAAGCAATAGGGTAGAAAGAATGCAGGCTTTAATGTCCCATAATTGCAATTCAAATCTGACGCCAACCCTGCCACTTATTAGTGTGACCATTAGAAAAGTATTAATTTTCCTGAGCCTCAGTGCCCTCATTTATGAAGTGGAGATAATGAAACTATGTTTAGAGGGTGATCTTAGGATGCTAGTGCATGTAAAGTGACTGACGTGTAATAGGGTCACAGTGGAAAGAAGAATGTCTTTTAATGGGAGAAGGAAAGAGTGTATGAAGTATCACTGAGACTTCTGCAGCATGCACTCTCTATTGTTCTTAGTATCCAGGAATTTTCAGGGTCATCCTCTGTTGTTGGCCCAAATCTCTTGGGGCAAATACAGAACTATTTCCATCTAGGGAATAAACGTTTAATTGAAATGGGTCTCACAAACTGATATAATTGGTTTCCTAGCAGTTGGAGTATTAAGTGATTGAAGGACAGAGAATGAGAGAAGCTTTTCACTTTATGCCTTCTTGTTACTCTTGAATTTTAAGACATATAAATATATGACCTATTCAAAAAATAAATGACCAAGATTCTTTTGCTTTGTTTTTTTGTTTGTTTTTAAAAGCAATCCATCTTAGTCTGGTCTAGAATGTCTGTTGCTATTCATATTTCAACAGCCATTCATTCAGAGTTTGAGAGGTGTAAGAACTAACTTACCATCATTACTTACCTAATAGGCTTCTCCTGGAAACATTTCTATTTCTGTCATTGCTGCAACCAACATCCAGTCACCCAGGGTAAAAAAAATAATGACATCTCCCATTCCTTTTCATTTTTTGTTTAACCCCCTACAGTCAGTCACCACAACCCGGGCATTCTATTCACTTAGTGTTTTTCTTTCCATTTCCACTGCTACCTGTGTAGTTTTAAGTTCACGTCTTAACTGGTATTAAAATCTCCTAACACCTGACTTTCAAACTCTACCACTTTCTACTAATCCTACATCTTGTTGCCAAATTAATCATCTTAAAATTTTATTCTACTGTCATTCCCTGACTCAAAAACTTTCAGTCACACCAGGTACGTTGGCACACCCCTGTAGTCCCAGCTACTCAAGAGGCAGAGTAGGGAGGTCCAGTCTGGGCAACACAGCAAGATCTGGTTTTAAAAAAAAAAAAAAAAAAAAGTTTCCAGCATGTATTCTGTATGTAAAAAAAAAAGCATCAAACAAACCATCAGTCACAATTTAGTGGCTGCTAAATGAAGTTTCACCACCCTAACCAGGCTTTAAGACTGAGAAATGGCCCTAACCTGTCTTATTCACCTTCACTCCTTTTATATTACATATCCTGATCTGCATTAAACAATTCACAATTTCCCAAATTTAGCCTTCCCTTTGACTTCCTTGAATTCATTTGATACCTACCTATTTGAACATCTGATACATTACTATGTCCAGAGCACTGTTCCAAGTGCTAGGCATTATACAGGTTAAAAAGAAAGCACATCCCCTTCTCAAGTGGAGGCCTCATTTGTCTTAGATACCCTCCAGTGTTTAAATTCTGTTCATTCTTATGGTACAGCTGGGATCAAAATCCTACTTTTCTGAAGACTGTAAATGACTCTCCTAACCTCAAATGTACTTTCTTTTCTCTGATTTCCCAATAGCTTCCTTTTCTTTTCTCTTTTGGTGGCATTTATTACTTTCTGCCTTGTATTTTTATTTTACTTAAAAGATTTCTGGGCAACTCAAAGGCAAAGACTATATCTTTTTAATTTATATATTTTCCATAATGCTGAGTATCATTCTTTATCCATAATAAAAGTTAAATGTGGCCAGGCAAGGTGGCTCACACCTGTAATCCCAGCACTTTGGGAGGCTGAAACTGGAGAGTCACTTGAGCCCAGGAGTTTGAGGCCAGCCTGAGCAACATAGTGAGACCTCGTCTCTACAAAAATAAAAAAATAAATAAATAGGCATGGTTGCATGCCTGTGGGGCTTGCTGGCTGCTGGGGAGGCTAAGGTGGGAGGATGGCTTGAATCCAGGAGTTTGAGGCTGTAGTGAGCAGTGATCACACCACTGCACTGTAGCCTGGGTGACAAAGAAAAATAGAAAAAAAATAGTTAAATATATATTTGTTTTACATATGCATAAGCAAATGAACCTGGGAGCCAGTTACCCCAACAATCTACTAATATTATTAAGCATTTACCTGTTCTCAGTGTTCTTTTCCTGAGTTCTGGTATATAATTTATAAATATTATTGACTTTTATGCAGCTATTAAATCTATAACATTTAAATGTTTTAATATTCAGGATATTTGGAAAATGTTTATATGGTATGCAACCATAAAATTTAATATAATACTCTCATAAAACATGTTCATTTGAATACAATGTATGTGTAAACTTAATTATGTAATTAGTTCAAGCACCGATTATTCTAACCTAGATAGACTTTATTAATTTAATACTATGTTCTTTCCCTTTCCTAGGAAAAGTACAATAATAATAACCTGTGTTTAGCACTTTTACCTGTCAGTGGCTTATAGAAGTTATTTTGGTCTCTAAACAGACTTGTGGAATATATAGGGTAGGTATTATTTGTGTTTTAAATATGATGAAACTAAGGTGCAGAGAAGTTGCATAATTTACATGAGGTCACATAGTTAATTAATGAAAAAAATCCAGGCTTAATCTTATAGGCATGATAATTGTATATTTTGTATTACTTGAAGTAATTATGCATTTTCTTCTCTTAGTGAAAGAAAGGATGTCTTAAGAGAAGCTGAAATTTTACACAAAGCTAGATTTAGTTACATTCTTCCAATTTTGGGAATTTGCAATGAGCCTGAATTTTTGGGAATAGTTACTGAATACATGCCAAATGGATCATTAAATGAACTCCTACATAGGGTAAGTATTACACATTTTTAGTGGCCATAATTGCCATTTTTACTATTCAAACTATATTTTACTTTGATTTTATGTTTAATCAGATTATTTCGGGGTATATAGATGAATCAAAGAATAATGAAAAACTATCACAGGGATAAAATTTTACCTTTTGTGACATTTTTGTGTTGATTAAAACACTGTGGATTCAGACCCTGTACTCTAGATTATTTTGCCTGAGTTACCATTCCTAACATTTATACCAAATTCTAGTATTTATATGCATATTACATGGGTAGAAATGGAAAAGATAAACTCTGCACACTGTAAAATCCACTGTTAAGTGATATTTTATATTAATAGCAATTTCAAATTCAAATTTAATGTTACTAATACCAGTTCATGAAGTTCTGAATTAGCAGGCCAGATATTAATAAATTATCTCTGAATACCAGATACATTAGCTTTTCTAATAATAGACAGTGGTATGAGCCATTTACCTTTTTTCCCAAGGTACCAATCACTTTCTCTTTGTGAATCCCATGAGTAAACAAATTCAGGGGTCCTCATTCTCAAAATATATGTATTCATTATTAATATTATCATGAGTCTGTAGTTTCAATAAATCTTTTTAAACCACTTGGTCCATTTTGTGAGGGTTGGCTTAATTAAAACTGTAATAATCTATAAAATCCAATTAATGGATACTCCTAAATGATAGTGTAACACAATGCCCTGTAAGTGGCCAAGGGAAAGTGGGTGCCACTGTCAGTCAGTCATAGAGTAACTTCCTCTCTGTTTCAGAATACATCACATTCTATTCGTGACTTGTGATCATTTGAAACAAGGATGGAATAAGTAACTGGTGTCAGTCTGTAAGATTTGTATAACTACCACAGCAACCAAGATACAAATATTAATAAATCATAATTTCTCTTTTATTTTTGTTGAGAAATGAATATAAGTAGAAATCTAACATTTTCTTCCCACACCCCAGCAGATACTCTGGCACCCAAATTTGCAGCTCACTGGACATTCTACAGCCTCCTCCAGGGGACTGCTAACTCCTGGAAAAAAAATCATAAAATACAGAGTGAGCACTTCTCTCCCTTGTCTCCATGATCACAATCCTCCATATTACATTATGCTGCAGAGAGGCCTGGTAACTGCTTTAAACTGTGTAATTTTCAGAAAAAGTTACCTTTTTTATAGATTAAAAGATTCAGTTTCTCTAGGGGACAGGGCTCTGTGTGTACCAGAGAAAGTAATGTTCCACATTAGTCTTCTGTGTTTCATTTGGTTTCCTGTATTGCATTATTTAGGGTGGGATTTATCTTGACGTGCCCTCCCCCAACCTTACAAAATTCATTGAAAAAACTCAAGATGTATCATAAACAGTCTAAAATATTTTGAACCACTCCCCCTGCCAGATTGATCAAAGCTGACGCATTTGCAGAAAAACTTCTCAAGATCAGTTTTGTACTTTCAGTAGAAGCAGTCTTTTTCATAGCATTTAGAAAAATGTGGCATGGTGCCTGGTGATTCATTGTTGATCTTCCCAAATTGCCTGGTCTTCCGAAGTATGTTCATTCTCCTGGGAAGCTACATTAACTTTTGTGTTCAGAAAACATTTATTTTAAGAAAGCTCAGATGGATGTTGAGTACTATGAAAAATAAAACGTTATGTTTTAAATGTGTCTATACTGTATAGTTTTAGAAACAAAAATGATTGTCCCCTTCCACAAAAACAAATCAAAAGGCTAATTTTATAAGCTGGAATGCAGATAAATTAATTAGATGATTAAATGTATGATAAATTAGTGCTTAGTCAATAAATATGGTCATAATTTATAACTGATGCAGTGATTATAAAGTCTGATTTTATATTAATAAAATTAAAATAAAAATTTTGAATGAATGGCTTGGTATTTACTAGAAATAAATTGTGTGTAATTTTTGTGTGTATTTGTGTGCGCTCAAATTACTTGATTAAGACACAGAATGGAGAGGTGGATGTGGGTGTAAGTATATGACTTTGGCTATGTATAGACACAAAATAACTGAGATCTGTGTCAGTTGAAGAAAGACCCAAAACCATGTAGTTGCATGACCAATATAAACTAAAAGGAAGTATTGGTGCTATAAAGTTATCATAACTTTCTCTAGAAAGCGAGGAAAGTAAGACACGTAAATGTTAAACCCGATCAAATTGACGCTATTTTATAAAAATGTGCATATGTTTTAACCTTAGTTTACTCTGTATTTCCTCATGGAATATTTAACTTCTAAGTGTGAAACGTAGTGAAATTTGGACTAATTTTATTTTGTTTCTTTTCACATATATATGAAGAAAACTGAATATCCTGATGTTGCTTGGCCATTGAGATTTCGCATTCTGCATGAAATTGCCCTTGGTGTAAATTACCTGCACAATATGACTCCTCCTTTACTTCATCATGACTTGAAGACTCAGAATATCCTATTGGACAATGAATTTCATGTTAAGGTAATTACTTTTTTAAAAAGTTTATCTGTTTCCTTGTCCTTATAGTTTTAAAAATACTTTTTAGTTATTTCTTCGACCTAGACTGTTTCATAGCTCTCCTTAGAGATAGGGACCAACGAATAGTAATTTCCGTAGCCCTTAATTTCTATCTTCTATTCTCCTTCTTACTACTGCAGTTAGGAAGCTATTCCTAGACAGAGATAGAATTACGATATAAAATACAAAGCCATTATGTTTCTTCATTGAATTGTCAAGATCACCTTTTTTGTTTTATTTTTTATTTTAAAATTATTATATGTTTATAGGAAGATGCAAAGGTAATAAAGAGGTTTCATGTATCCGTCACCTGGTTTCCCACACTGTTACGTCACACATAATTATAGTATAATTTTAAGACCAGGAATTTGACATTAGTACAATGCGTGTACATAGTACCATTACTTTATCACATGTATAGATATGTGTAACCACAACAATCAAGGTACAGCACTTCTCATAACATCACCACAAAAATACCACTCATGCTACCTCACCCACTTCCTCTCTACCACAATCTGTACCTCTAACGACCACTAATCTGCTTTCCATCTCTTTAATTTTGTAATTTTGAAAATGCTATATAAGTGGAATCATATAGTATGTGATATTTTGAGATTGGCTCTGTTTACATCACATAATGCTCTTGAGATCCATCTAAGTTGTGCTCATAACAATAGTTGTTTTTTATTGATAAATAGTATTCCACAGCATAAATGTACCACAGTTAACCATTCAGGAATATTTTGGTTCTTTCTAGTTTGGGGTAATTATTTACAGAGCTGCTGTGAACAAAGCTATACAGGTTTATGAGTGAACATAAGTCTTCATTACTCTGTGATAAATGCCCAAGAATACAAATGCTGGGTCATATGGTAAGGGTGTGTTTAGTTTTTTGTTGTTGTTGTTTGTTTTTTTTTGATACAGAGTCTCGCTCTGTCGCCCCGGCTGGAGTGCAGTGGCCGGATCTCAGCTCACTGCCAGCTCCGCCTCCCAGGTTTATGCCATTCTCCTGCCTCAGCCTCTCGAGTAGCTGGGACTACAGGCGCCCACCACCACGCCTGGCTAGTTTTTTTTATTTTTTTAGTAGAGACAGGGTTTCGCAGTGTTAGCCTGGATGGTCTCGATCTTCTGACCTCGTGATCCACCCGTCTTGGCCTCCCAAAGTGCTGGGATTGCAGCCTTGAGCCACTGAGCCCAGTCGGTGTGTTTAGTTTTTAAAGAAAGTATCCAACTATTTTCCAGAGTGGCTGTACCATTTTACATTCCACCAGCAATGTGTGAGAGATCCAGCTATTCCGCATCCTACCAGCATTTGTTATTATCACTGTTTTCTGTTTAACTGTTCTAATAGATGCATAGTGATATCTTATCTTGTATTAATTTGCATTTTCCTAACTGCTAATGATATTGAACACCTTTTTATATGCTAATTTGCCACCCATACGTGGCTTTCAGTGAAATGTCTCTTGATGTCTTAAACTCATTTTCTAAAGGGAGTCCTTGGTTTTCTTACTGTTGAGTTTTGAGAGTTCTGTATAATGTTACAGTGGTAGTTCATCAGATATGTAGTTTGCAAATATTTTCTCCCAGTTATAGTTTATCTTTTCATCGTTTTAACAGGGACTTTCACAAAGCAAAAATTTTAATTTTGATGAAGTTCATTTTTTTTCTTTTATGGATCATGCTTTGCTGTCATCTCCAAGCACTTTTCACCAAGTTCTACTTACTGAAGATTTTCTTTTTTGTTATCTTCTATACGTTTTATAGTTTTATGTTACATATGTAATCTGTGATCCACCTTGAATTCATTTTTGTGTAAGATGCAGGACTTAAGTGCTGAAGACACTCACTGGCTATTGTGATTTCACAGCTATTCTATATCTAACTGAATATAAATAAAAAGTAGTTTTTGAGTATTAATACTAAATGTAACTCACCATATTTTAATATATCATTTTGCTATACTTTTAATAACATATGTAATCAGAAAATTATTGTAAATATAAAAAACGTTCAAAGACATCAGTAATAGAGAAGTTGAAACAACAGGGAAATTAAAACAAGAAATGTGAGAAAAAATAAGTGGGAAAAAGTTTTATTGAAGACAATCCTCTCCCTAGAAGAAAGTGGTAGGGGAAGAGAGAGAGAAGCAAGCTGCTGCCTCAGTATTGCTAAGAAAAAAAGAGACTCATCTATTGCATCAATTATAGAACCATCAAGTAGAAGTACCTTAATGGACACCTCGTTCTCTGAGCCCTCACTGCAACAATCCCTGTCTCCCAAAACAGTTATCCTGTAACAGGGAGTCTTAACATCCTAATTGAATAATTGTGACATTTTCTTAAATGATCAACCAAAATTCCTTCCTAGAGTGCTTCCACCCATTGATCCTACTACTTTTTATGATAAACAGAATAAATCCAATTTAGTTACTTCAACAGGACAGCTCTTTTAATATTTGAAGATAGCTATGAACTGTCTCCCAACCCCTCACATACAAGTGCATTTTATCCATCTCCCTGATAAATAACCTTAGTTCCTTCAGTTCGTTTTCTTATTACATGGATTTTAATCCTTGGTGCTGTGTAGATGCATCTGTTTGTTTAAATCTCTCTTAAATGTTGATCGTCAGCACTGAACACAATACTATTTTTGGTGTGGTTTGATGAATGTAGAATTTAGTGAAAGTGTCATTTCCTTGGCCCTAAATACTTAATAGTTCCTTAATAATTCATCAGCTTTCCAGGGGTAGTCATATCACATGGTTCAAATTGGGCTTAGTGTCAACAAAAAACCCATAGAGGTTCTTTTTCCCACATACTGTTGCTTAAGCAACCTCTTCTTATCATGTACTTTACAGAATACTTTCTAGATATGATCTAATTTTATCTTGTTAAATTGGAGCAATTGCTTCAGTCTCTTAAGACCTTTACAAATGTTATTTCTGTAATCCAAAGGTTTTACGTTTCCAAGTTTTGTGTGATGCTCAAATTTAATTAGCTATTTTTTTGTATCTTTAAGTCATGATTAAATATGAACCAGTACAGAGCTCGAATCAGAGCTGTATCACATGGCCATAAGAACCTTCATCTGGGTCAATATCTGTCCTTTTGTTAATCCATGCTTTTGGAGAAGACTCATTCAGTTTGCCTGGAATACTCCTGAAAGTGCTGTTATACAGCCCATATTTCTTGGTTCTTTCCTTAAAAATTTTATGAAAGTCTTTGCTTAACTGCTTTTCTTAGCTCTTCTCATGACTTAGTCATCTTCTCCATCCTCATTTTCAGAGTGGCTTTGTCTCGCCACCCACCTAGTTCCTCTCTATTCTTTTACTTTGATTTATGCTTTCTCCATTATATTTTGCACCATCTGACATAATATTTTTTATAAATATATTTATTGACCATCTCCCCCAGTTAGAATGTATGCTCCATGAAGACAGAAATTTAGTCTACTTCATTACCTGCCACATAGCCAGCACATGCCATAAAGAAATATTCAATAATTATTTGCTGAATGAACAAATGTGCGAATTCCTGATCTTCTGTATATACCAGATAGGCCTACTAACTTGGAAGTCTAATATGTTTAAGTGCATTAAAATATTTTATAATATACAAACCATTTATACATTTACTCTTTGACAGTACTACTACTGTCAAGAAAGGAAACCAGGCCAGGAGCGGTGGCTCATGCCTGTAGTCCCAGTACTTTGGGAGGCCGAGGTGGGCGGATCACGAGGTCAGGAGATCGAGACTATCCTGGCTAATACGGTGAAACCCCATCTCCACTAAAACATACAAAAAGAATTAGTCGGGCGTGGTGGCAGGTGCCTGTAGTCCCAGCTACTCAGGAGGCTGAGGCAGGAGAATAGCATGAACCCGGGAGGCGGAGCTTGCAGTAAGCAGATATCACGCCACTGCACTCCAGCGTAGGCGACAGAGCGAGACTCCATCTCAAAAAAAAAAAAAAAAAGAAACCAAATTGGTTATTCCTTTACTTAATGAATGTTTATGAAGCAACTACTATGTGCTGAGCATTGTGCCAAGCACTTGGGCTGTATTACCCAAGATCAGAAATTGACTACTGTTCTGATATAATTTGTTTTTTGAGAATTTTTGCTGGCCCTTACATTTTCTATATATTTATAAAATACCCCTTTTTGTAAACTTTTGAAATTTTTAAGCCAGGTGCTATGGTTTGAATGTGCCCCCTCCAAAATTCATACGTTGCCAATGTGATAGTGAAGAGGTAAGGCCTTTAAGGGGTAATTAGGCCATGAGGGAGGGCTTTTCCATCCCTCTTGAATGAGATTAAGAACCAAAAAAAAAAAAAAAGCTTCATGCAGCTTTCAGGTAGCTTGCCTTTCTGCCTTCTGCCATTTGAGGAGGCCACAAGCAGGTGCCCACCAGACCAAATGTCAGTGGCTGGATCTTGAATCTCCCAGCCTCCAGAACTGTGAGAACAAATTTATCTTCTTTATAAATCACCCAGTCTGTGGTATTCTGTTATAGCAGCACAAAAGGACTAAGACAGAAATTGGTACAATAAAAGTAAGGAGTTTCTATAACAACCATCTAAAAATGTGGAGGTAGCTTTGGAACTGCATAATGACATATAGGCTGAAATCATTTTTGAAATGGATGCCAGAGAAAGCCTAGATTGCCATGAAGGGAGCATTAAGGGCAATTCTATTGAGGGCTTTGAAGTGAAGAGAAGGACTGTAGAGAAACCTTCATTCTTTTAGAGATTACTTGAGTGGTCATGAAGAGAATCTTGCTGGACATATGGACAGTAAAGACTATTCTGACAAACAGTCTCAGATGGAAAGGAAGAACATGGTATTAGAAACTGGAAGACAGGTCATCCTTGTGGTAAAGTGGCCAAGAACTTACCTGAACGATGTCTGTGTCCTGGGACTTTGTGGAAGACAGAACTTAACACTGAACTAGGATATTTGGCAGAAGAAATTTCCAAGCAACAAAGTGTTCAGAATGCTGGGTGGCATCTGTTAACTGCTTATAGTAAAATGCAAGAAGTAGAAATGACTTAAAGGTGAAATTTATAATCAAATGGGAATTAGAATGTAAAGATTTGGAAAATTCTCAGACTGACCATGTAAAGCATAACAAATTCTTTTTAGGAGAGAAAAACAAGAGTGTGGCAAAGTAACTGGTTGATGAAGAAATTAGCATGGATAGAGGGAAGATAGATGCTACTCATCAAGACAATGGGAGAATGACCCCAGACGCATTTCAGAGATATCCAAGGCTGCCATGCTTATCATCACAGGGCCAGAGTGTGTGTTCCTTGGTTATTCCAGTTGTGGTTCACATAGATCCAGATGTGGCTCATACTGCTCCAGAGGGCAGTATGCCTTGGTGACAACCATGTGGTGCTAATTCTGTAGGCATGCAAAGTGCAAAAGCTGTGGAGGTATGGCTTTCTCCATCTAGATTTTAAAGAGTGCCTCGGAAAAGCTCAGGGCCCAGGCAGAGATCTGCTTCAGGGTGGATCCTTCACAGAGTTCCCACTATAAGGCAGTGCTCAGTGGAGCTATGGTAACAGGGCTACCCCTAGAACATCAGACCTGTAGAGCCACTGGTGTGCAGCACCAGCCTGGGAAAACCAAAGCATGTGACTTGAATATGTAAGAAATGAAGCGTGGACTATATCTAGCAAAGCCATAGGGGCAGGGCTGCCCAAGGCCTTGGGGTTCAACGTCACCCCAGTGTGTCCAGACGGTAGTACATGGAGTCAAAGAAGATTATCCTCAAGCCTTAAGATTCAGTGTTGTTTGGTCTGTTGTGTTTTAGACTGACTTGGGACCTGTTACTCCCTTTTTCTTTCCTGTTTCTTCCTTCTGGAATGGGAACAGCTATTCTATGCTTGCCCTACCATTTTATTTTGTAAGCACATAACTTACTTGATTTCACAGGCTCACAGCTAGAAAGGAATTTGCCTCAGGATGAATTTCACCTTGAATCTCACCCATATGATGTTTAGAAGAGACTTTGGACTTAGACTTTGAAGTTGATACTAGAACAAATTGAGACTTTTGGGGGCTATTGGGCTGGAACGAATGTATTTTGTATATAAGAAGGACATGAATTTTAGGGGGGCCACAGGCAGAATGCTGTGATTTGAATGTGTCCCCTCTAAACTTCAGATGTTGGCAATGTGATACTATTAACAGATGGGACCTTTAAGAGGTGATTAAGCTGTTAGGGCTTCTCCTTTATAAATGAGATTAAGGCCCTTAAAAAAGAGAGACTTCATGCAGTGTTGGAGGATTGAAACACCAGAGTTTAAGGATAGGCTCCTACAAATATGTCAGACTTATTCTTAGGTTCCTAGGTTGCATACTTTAGAATACTCCATATATTTCTATAGGTTGCAAATGTTGATTTGCAAAGTCAACATTTTTTCCCCTTTTTAAAAAATCAGACTGGCATTCACTTTTCTGATATCCTATAATACCTCTCCATTTTGTCCCACAAAGAACAGTAATAGCACTGAGGAGGTATTTGCAAATTATCTGAATAATTTGAAATGTATAGTTGTATAACTTTTCAACTTCCTTAGACTTCATTTTCTTCATCTCAGACCAGAAACTATTCTTGATAGAGAAAACAAAAGCAAAGTAATAATGACCTCTACTTTCTTTTTCATCCATCAATAGCATATACTTGGTCCTTTTCTGTGAATTCAATTTTTAAAATCTTGATTTTTTTTTTTTTTTCCTTAAATTTACTCTTTTATTGTAGCAAAGGAATGGAAGATTCATTTATTCTACCCCTCCTTTTTGGGGATGGAGGCCATAATTTTTTTTTGTCTCAAATTCATCTAAATGCTAATAAAATTATGTATTTTGTTAAAATCAGTAAAAAATATAGGAAATAAACAATGGAAACAAATGATGTGCTGCATGGAGCCCATTTCACTCTGCTGAATTCTAAAGTATGCAGTAAAATGTTCTAAGTAATTTAAATGTCTTTAAGGATTTCCCATACTCCCTTGTCAATTAAATATTATTTCTGTTCTTACATTTTGTCTTACATTTTTAAAAAATAAAGTAAAAAATAAGGAAGCTTTAAAATATTTAGTTGTAAGATACTGTATAATATGTGCACAAGATTTACAATTGAAGCAAAACTGTACAGGACATATCAAAGGCACAGAATATTGTCACTGGTAATTCTTTAGACACCTATTGTATTGGACATAAATATGCTTTATATGCAATTATACTGTTTCTATGAAATACTTCATTTAGTGATCAGCATAAAATTGTATAATATCTTTACAATTTTGAGATTTTGCTTATTTTGTAATTTAAGAATGCTACCTTTAGGGCATTATGAATACAACTGTATAAACCAGAATTGTAAACAATGACCAGTGACAATTGCATGAGATGTGAGTAGAATTGGCAGCTCTGTGAGATGTAGAAAGCACATGGTACCAAGCTATATGTCATGACAAGGTGTGCAAAGTACACACTCATTGAGAATAACAGACAAAAAATGTCTCTCTTTAATTTTCAAAAATTAGTTTCTCTTTTGAAATTTGTAATGTTATATTAAACTTTGTCAGTATGTATTGCTTCTAGAGTTATTTGGCTCAGCACTATGGAATTTAATTTTGTAAAAAGTTGGTGGAATATATAGAAATAAAATATTAAAATATATTACATTTTCTCTGGTTTGATATCTAAATACAGTGAATATACACAAAGATAGTTGACTTTTGGACTTTTTAAAGAGGAAATTTCTTAATTCAATTATTTGCTCTTTTCCCTTACAGATTGCAGATTTTGGTTTATCAAAATGGCGCATGATGTCCCTCTCACAATCACGAAGTAGCAAATCTGCACCAGAAGGAGGGACAATTATCTATATGCCACCTGAAAACTATGAACCTGGACAAAAATCAAGGGCCAGTATCAAGCACGATATATATAGGTATAATAAGGATTGCTTTTTCTCAGAGTTAACCTTGTCTCTGACACAAAATTAGTCAACCAGAATTTTGAAGCTACATTTTAAACTGTGATTTTTATTCTTCTCTCATAATTGTGGTGAAAATAAACTTGAGGCCATGGTGATTATTTTTCAAAGTAAAGAAATTTAATGATTTGCTCTAAGAAACTTTTACATCCTTTAAGAAATTTTAAAGCATCTCTTCTTATCCTATCAATTTATAATATAATAGTTAAGGATTTTTATCATATGTGACTTGGAAATGCAGAGGGAAACTGTAGTTCCTAACATTTTAGCTTTAAGTTTCTCAACCTGTTCAACCTTTCAGCTTTTGATATCTATAAATCTTTTTAGATAAATAGACCAACTCTTAATCATACTGGGGATGTTTCTATTTAAAGAATCCCTAATATTTGTATATGTGTGAATTTTTTATACAACAAATCAATAGATTTGATCGTATTTTCATATTTCTGATGCATATTACTTATAGTCTCATAATGCAGTAATAAGCATAACACATTGTTCTTGACACTGGTTATTTAACCAGAATAAAAGGAAGATGATTATTTACATAGGTTTAAGAGATGGGGACATTCACCTCATGTGTAAGTTACTCTTATCTCTTTTAATATACTAATGAATGCAAAAGCACACTCTCTAAATTTGCTGTGAACACATTTTATAGTCCTTTAAATGGCTTTTTGCCATCTTTAATAAATAACCTGTTAATGAATCATTTTAGGAACAAATGCCATATCTCTACCAGAAAACTATATATTTAATTAAATTGCATATTCCTTTTCTTCAAAAGCATTTTAATTTTTGTTATTTCTCATTAAATCCAAAGCCAGCCAATCCATTTTAGTGGCTGCACTAAAACAATTCATATAGTGTCTTTTACATTCACATTGTATGAATATAAAAAATTGCCCTTTTATATTTTGTTTTCTGATATTTTTAATTTATTTTGAATGATGTACTGAGGGGAGGGGAAATGTATTTATAGCTTCCTAAGGTAAAGATCATGTTCTACTCAACAATTCTTGAAAACTGGTTTGATTCTATAAAAATGGGCCAATTTAAATCTACCAGTCATTCATTTTGTGAATTTTCTCTTTATGTTCAATTTCAATATTCTCTGTCAGGGAAATATGAGGAAATATTATTCCTTTATTTGGGTAGGAATTCCCTCTGTACTCCTCGCTCTCCCTGTAACAAAAGGTGTTGGTAGTAATAAATTCTACGTGTCCATTTTGAATGCATGGTTAATGTTGGGGTGTGGCAAAATTCTTATATCCTATTTAACCATTTATTCTAATTATAAACTCTATGCAGCTTAACCCTGTAATTGACATCTGAAGTTAAACTGTAGGCAGGATATTTCTACTACCAAAGAAGATAGTGCTGAGAGCAGAAAAAAGGCAGTAGAATAGAGCTCCATGAGAATTTTTTTCTTGCTCTTTGTTCTTTGTGAAAAGTAATATCATTTAATTAAAGGGCATAGCTTATCTGAGTGTTCAAGAATTAATCCTAGTATTAAATCATCCACAAAAAGTTAATCTTGCATGTAACGTTAAGCTTTTATTGCAGTAATTTCCTAATTTTTTAACTTAAAATTGATTTTCTTTCAAAACTAGATGAGCATTTGTCATCTTCATTGTATACAGTAATTCTTTGCTGCCTTATCACTTTCAAAAATGGTATCTTCACAGTCAGCTTTTAAAAGTAGTGCTATTTTAGTTTATTAGATAGAGTTCATTTAAAATATATAACATGTATGTTCTTATGTTAAACAGCTATGCAGTTATCACATGGGAAGTGTTATCCAGAAAACAGCCTTTTGAAGGTAAGTATGTTTTGACTTTTTTATGCTCAATAACATCATGTTAGTAGGTCACTCTCAGAACTATCTAAAAATCATGTTATTTTAAATCTGCTTATTCATTTTGTGGAAAACACACTAAAACGACAATTTATCAATTGTGAATGCATCACATACTGCAAAATATACTGGGTTAAGGATCCAGTTGTGAGTCTGCTATATACTGGAAAATGTACTGGATTAAGGATTAGAAAAACCCAGATTTTAATTCTTGTTCTGACAGTAATTAACTCTGTGATCAAGTCACAAAATCTCTTCAGTCCTCATTTTTGTCACCTGCATAGTAAGAATTTTAAATTACTATTTCCAAGTTCTAGTCTAGCTGTAAAATTATTTATATGATAATTTAATTACTACTCCCTCTATAAAGACTAGCAAATATTGAAGACTAATCTGTCCTTTTTATTCCCTGAAAATACTGTTTATTTCTTTATTCTGAGGTTTGTGTAGGTCAGCTTGTTGTGTAACAAAAAATAACCTTGGAATCTCCATAGCTTATGAAATAAACATTTATTTCTCATTCACATTAAATATTAGTTGCTGTAGCCCTTCTTAGTTTGGCTAGGTTTTGCTCAGCTCTGCTTTACAAATATTCTGTTTACCAAATCCAATCATATGGCCAAGCCCAGAATTAATGAGGTGAGGATATAAACTCTTTCCATAGGAATAGACAAGTCTGGCAATGGTTTGGGGTATTCCTTTTACAGAAAGGGGGGTAAGACATTATTCCTAAAATTTTAATATTCACTTATTTTCTTTTAGTTAGTTTTACATGTAAGTAATATGCTGAATTGTAATATATTTCTAATGAATGCAATCTATTTGTTTTGACAGATGTCACCAATCCTTTGCAGATAATGTATAGTGTGTCACAAGGACATCGACCTGTTATTAATGAAGAAAGTTTGCCATATGATATACCTCACCGAGCACATATGATCTCTCTAATAGAAAGTGGATGGGCACAAAATCCAGATGAAAGACCATCTTTCTTAAGTGAGTATATACTTCTAACGTGGACTCCTTGAATTACAGAATTAGTTAATATACTGTGAATAAAATATTCCTTGAAAAATTGTGCAAATTAGATGACTAGCTAGAAGTTGTTTAAATTATTTTCCGACTTATCATAGCATTTATATATGAGCAACTCCTTCTAGAGCAGAACTGAGAATTCCTAACAAAAAAGAGAAATTGTGTGATAGGAGTAACAATTTCCTTCATATATTTAACAAATATGTCTTGAACCCCTACCATGCGCTATGTATATACTGGAGTAAGCCCTGGGAACAGAGTAAAGAAGACAAACTTTCTGTAGCTAGTTCACATTCTAGTTGAGAAGGCAGAGTGAAAACAAATAAATAAGCAAGACACAGATTGTGACAGTCTTATTAGGAAATAAGCAAGGTAATAGACTAATTAAGGGAGGGAAACAAAGGCCTTTTTTTAGGAGCGAACATTTGAGCTGAGATTTGAAGCTTGAAAAAGAGCCAGTCATTCAAATGCTGAAGAAAAAGTATTCAGCCAAACAAAACAGCAAGCATAAAGGCTCTGAGCCTAGAAGAGAAAAAGTTTTATATTCTCAAGAAACAGTGAGAAGGCCTGTGTAGCTAGAATATAGTAGGCAAGGAAAGGAATTAGATGATATTGGAGAGGTAAAAGAGAGGCTATTGGCCATCATTAAAAGGTTAGATTTTTATTCCAAGTGCAATGGAAAGCCATTAAAGTATGTTTTGCAGGGAAGTGACATAATCTGATAAGAAGTATAAGTGAAATTCTTCCTGCTCTGTGGAAAGTTGATTGGAGAAAGGCAAAAGTAGAAGCAAAGAGGCTAGGAAAGAAACTTTCAGGAATTTTCTAATTGAGGTGGAAATTCTGAAGATAGAAGAGTTACAGAATTAAGATAGTATTTCAGAGGTAGAATGGATCAGACATCCAAATGTAAATGTAGGAGAAAATCTTCATGACCTAGGGTTAGGCAGAATCTTTAAATATGACATCAAAAATAAATAGGATTCATTAAAAAATTTATAATCAGACTTTGAAAACATTGGAAACTTTTGCACTTCAAAAGGTCCTATTGAGAAAAGAGACAGCCAGGCGTTTAGTGTCCACGACTTTAGTCCCAGTTACTTAGGAGGCTGAGGCAGGAGGATCACTTGAGCCCAGGAGTTTGAGGATGTATCATAATAGTGCACTGTGATCGTGCCTGTGAAAAGCTACTGCACTCCAACCTGGGCAACATAGCAAGACCTCATTTCCAAAAAGGAAAAAAAAAGCAGAACCACAGACTGGGAGAACATATTTGCATAACATGTATCTGCTAAAGGGCTTGATTCTGGAATATATAAAAAACCCTGACAAGTCAATAATAGGATAGATAGCCCTATTTTAAAATGAGTAAAAGATCTGAATTTCACCAAGGGAGATATACAAATAGCTAAAAAGCACATAAAATGATGCTTAATATTATTAGTCATTTGGAAATGCAAATTAAAACTGCAATGAGTTACCACTTTATACCCACAAAAATAGCTATAATTAAAGACAGAAAATAACAAGTGTTGACAGTGATGTGGCAAAACCAAAATCCTTATACATTGTTAGTGGGAATATAAAATGATACTGCCTCTTTGGAAAACAGTTTGGCAGTTTCTTAAAATGAAAGATAAATTTACCATACAACCAAGCAATCCACTAACAGGTAACCCAAGATAAATGAAAACATGTGTTCACACAGAGACTTGTATGTGATTAGTGATAGGAGCATTGTTTATAACAGCCAGCAAGTAGAAACAGTCATAATTACTGTTGCTACTACTACAACAATACATGAATCTGTTGTTCCGGGAAGAGTCCAGGATCCTAATATAAAATTGCACATCACTAACATATTGGTAGTCTGGACTGGTTCGTCTAAGAAGGTAATGTAGATAGCAAAGAGGGAACCATAGTAGAGCTCTGAGGCATTCCAGCACTTAGAAATGGAGAAGAGGAAGAAGAAAAAGAGACTGAGGAAGAGAGGACAGTAGAGAGTATAGTCTTTGTGTCTTGGAAGTCAAGGAGGGGTATAGTCAGACATGTCTAATCTGCCAGGAGGCCAAATGAGACAAGCAGGATTTTCCAACAGTGTCATCACCAGTAATCCAAACAAATGGAGTGTTAATAGAGATATGAAAACAGAACACTGATGTACATTTTTTAAAAAAAGAAAGAAGTGAAGCCAAATATGGACAATTCCAGCAAGATGCTTGGCTCTGAACAGAAGCAGAAAAAAATGAGGTGATAGCTAAAGGATGATATGGGGTCAAAATTTTTTCCTATGACCAGGCAGTGGCCCATGCCTGTAATCCCAGCACTTTGGGAGACCAAGGCAGAGGGATTACTTGAGTTCTGGGGTTCGAGACCAGCCTAGGCAGCACAGCAAGACCTTGTCTCAACTAAAAAAACAAATTAAAAAATTAGCGAGACATGGTGCATTGCCTGTAATCCCAGCTACTTGGGAGACTGAGGCAGGAGGATTGCTTGAGCCCAAAATGTTGAGGCTGCAGTGAGCTATGATCGTGCCACTGCACTTGCACTCCAGCCTAGGTGACAAAGCAAAATGCTGTTTCTTTAAAAAAAAAACAAAAAATCCTGGAGAAAGGTAAGAAACAGTAATAGAATATGTGTTTGATGGTCAAATGATCCAGTAGAGAGTCAGAGATTGTCAGTGCAAGAGCTGAGAGAGAGTATCAGAAACAGAATGCTGGAGAGGTAGAGGAAATGGTATTCAGAATGCAAATGATACTGTTTACATTTGTATGAGTATATGGACACTTTTTTCTACTGTAAGAGAAATGAGGTTGGAGAGATGGATACAAGTACAAGAAGTTTGTAGATCTGGTTGTAGGACCCTGAAGGAATTCCCTCTCATGGCTTCTATTTTCTCAGTGTAGTGTGAGAGCACATGATCAGCTAGCTCAAAGGAAAGATGGAGGATGGGATGTAAGAGGTTGAAAAGGGGAAGATAAAATACAATGCTCTTACCCCTGCTTTCCCTTTCTAAGTTCAGAATATATTAAGAAAAAGATGAGGAAGGAAGAAAGATGGTGGTCAAAATATCAGTTTCATTACTGATAAAGCTAATTGGAGAATGTACCTTTAGATCTGCAGCCAAATGGGCTTAGTAGCATTTTACCTCTACAGTTGATAGTTTTACCAGCCCACCACAGGCCTCACCCTGCTTCTACATAGGGAAGCAGAAAATGTATGCATTCTTTAGGCAAAAAACTGACTTTTAAAAGAAGGAGAAAACTGCAAAGGAACCAGATAAGCATGCTGAGTTTTTCTCCAAGATTAACAAATGAGGTAAGTCTGAGGGGCAGAAAGAAGATGGAAGAATTCCTCCTATACTTCTCCTTCCTGAGGATTGGACTGGAAATGTCATCTTCCTGTTGGAAACATGAAGAAAAGGACTTAAGCGTCTCCTCCAGCAGTACAAGATAATCATGTAAGACAGCAATTCTCAAACTTTTAGATCTCAATACTCTTCAAAATCATTGAGGACCTCAAAGAGCTTTTGTATATGTGGGTCATATCTATTAGCATTTACTGTATTAGAAATTAAAACCAAGGAATTTTAAAATGTAGGAATATACAAGAACACATTCCATTATCTGTTGAAGCAGTGTTCTTATCACACCTTATTTATGGGCCTCTGGATAAATCCACTATATACTCGTTTGGGGATGACAGTAAACAGGGAAAATAATGTCTTAGTACTAGTTACTTTGAATATAGTTCTGACTTCATGAACCCTCAGGAACCACACCCCCCCAGGGGTCCCTAGGCCACACTTTATGAGAACAGTAGATGTATTTGGGAAGCAAAATAGGATTGCTGAGAAGTAGTATTAAGTGTTTAGTTTGGGCCATTAATCTAGAGAAACTAGTGACCCCACTTCTGGTCAAGATGGAGTAACAGGGGCCAATTTGCCCTCCTGCCTGAAACAACCAAAAAACCTAGACAAAATATGTGAAAGAGTGGTTTTTAAGACACTAAATCAGGAAACAACAGCAATCTCTGATGGACGGGAAACAAATGAAGTCAGCCTTCCGATTGCCTGGCTTCCTGCCTTGAGAGTTTCTAGATGCAGCATGGGGAGAGGAAACTGAGGTGGAACCCAGCTGACACTCAGGGTCTAGGAGACAGGGATGACAGTGTGGGTAGACCAAGGCAGACAGACATCATAGGACATCGCACCGGAAGGGAAAAGGTACACAGAGGAAGAGCCCCAGAGATTTGCAGAGGGTTCCTCTCAAGTATTCAGTGGAGCACTGATCAGTACAGCGTGGCTAAGTCAGTAAGCCAAAAGCCAAAATCTTCAATGAGCATAGGAGAAAAGCAGAAGTTTGCAGAGAAGTGTTGCCCAATGGCATGAACTTTAGAGGATCTAGAATTTTCACAGAAAGAAGAAATTACTATTTGGAAATGGCAAAGAGAGGACAACAGAGATATGTACCCTTCCTCATAGCTCTGGAAAGAAAGAAAGATAAAATATGAACCCATTACCTTAGCAAATTTTGATTTGTAAATACAATACTGATGAACAATGGATATAAGTATTGAATGAAAACTACAATGCATTGCTTTTTTTAGTAATGAGAACTCAGAGTTTATTTTTAGACTGTCTAACTAATATTGCCTATAAACATATCCAGCCTTATATCTGACAGTACGGTGTGAGTGTGTGTATATGTGTGTGTGTGTGTGTATTTAATTTATCACATTTCTTACAAAGTACTGTTGTCTGCCTTAGACATTTTTCATTTATAGCCTTTGGGATGCTACTGGTTTTGTTGTTATTGTTAGGTTTTGGACTTTGTTTTTAAATGGAAGCACAACTTTTTTTTCTTAGGATGACAGCTTCCTATTTTCAGTGGGAAGGTACCATCATTGATTTATAAACACACTACTGCCCTATACAGCCCGTCAGTTTTATTTTAAGGCTGTGGTGTATATTGGAATGGTGAAAAGCAGGTTCTGGGAACCTGAAAGGGAAAGAAAGAATAAAAAATCAATAATAGGGAAAGTTTAAGTGTATTCAATAAAGAAATTCTGTCAATACGACCAAATGGAAGAACATGAAATTACAAAGGGATTTCTAGATACCAGAGTAAGCACAAGATGCCTACTTTTGGATAAACCTACTGAAAAGAAATGAAAAGTTCACAATGAAAGAAATTTTGGTAAAAAAATAAAGGAAGCTTGAAAAACTAAAAGCAAGCTATATTTTTCCTTTTTTAAAAAAAAATATAGGTTAACTGAATTAAGGAAAGGAGGAAGATCAGTAAACCTTTGTTGAAAAAGTGACTAGAGAATATACATTCTGAAAATGGATTTAACTGTTCAATTAATGTACATATTAAATGGCAAAGTAACACAGTAGCAGAGAGGAATCATAAATATTCTGTTTTTCAAAAGCCTATCAAAGTATAGTTTACTTACCTTAAAAGTTATCTATTCTAAGTATACATTCATGGACTTTTTAGTATTAATAATTTTACAGTTTGCAGCCATTACTATAATCCAATTTTAAAGTATTTCCATCAACCCCCACAAAATCCCTCATAACTATTTACAGTCACTGCCTGTTCTCATCACTAACCCTACATAACCAGTAATCTATCTATTCTCTGTCTTTCTAGATTTGCTTTTTCTGGATATTTAATATAAATGGAATGATAACAATGTGTGGTCCTTTTGCATCTGGCTCTTTTCACACTTAGCATAATGTTTTTCAAGTTCATTCAGGTTTCAGCATGAATCATAGTTCAGTAATTTATTGTTGAATAATACTTCATCGTATGGATGTATCACATTTTGTTGATCCATTAGCCAGTTGATGAACATTTTGATTGTTTCTACTTGTTGCCTATGTGAATAATGTTGCTATGACTGTTCACATACAAGTCTGTGAACGTATGTTTTCATTTCTCTTGGTTAATTATCTGTGAGTAGAATTGCTGGGCTACATGATAAATTTATCTTTAATTTTTAAGAAACTGCCAAACTGTTTTCCAGAGTAGCTACATTATTTTATTCCCACCAGCAATGTATGAGGGTTTCATTTTCTCCACATCACTGTCAACACTTCTTATTTTCTTTTTAATTATATTTTAGTGAGTATGGAGTGATGTCTCATTGCAGTTTTAAAGTGCCTTTTCTTATGATGTTAAGCATCTTTTCATGTGCTTCTTGAAGACATTTGTATATCTCCTTTAGTGAAATTCAAATCTTTTACTTGTTTTTTAATTTTGCTATTTTTCCTATTATTGTCATGGGTCTGTATATATTGTAGATACAAACCCTTTAGCAGATACATGATATGGAAATATAGTGTACAAGATTGCAGCTTATCTTTTTATTTTTTCTTAATACTGTCTTGAAGTGCAAAAGTGTTCAAATTTTTTGAAGTCCAGTTTTCAGGTTTTTTGTTTGTTTGTTTGTTTTGTTTTTGAGTTGGAGTCTTGCTCTATTGCCCAGGCTGGAGTGCAGTGGTGCAATCTTGGCTCACTGCAAGCTCCGCCTCCCGGGTTCACGCCATTCTTCTGCCCCAGCCTCCTGAGTAGCTGGGACTACAGGTGCCCGCCACCATGCCCTGCTAATTTATTTTTTTTATTTTTTTATTTTTTTGTATTTTTAGTAGAGATGAGGTTTCACTGTGTTAGCCAGGATGGTCTCAATCTCCTGACCTCGTGATCTGCCCGCCTCGGCCTCCCAAAGTACTGGGTTTACAGGCATGAGCCACCACACCTGGCCCAATTTTCAGGTTTTTTTAACGGATTTCATTTTTGATGTCATATCTAAGAACTCTGCCTAACCCAAGATCATGAGGATTTTCTCCTATGTTTACATTTAGGTGTGGGGTCCATTTCAAGTTAGTTTTTATGCGTAGTGTGATATAAGTATCTAAATTTATCTGTTTCCAGGTGTATATCCAACTGTTTTAGCATCATTTGTTGAAAAGGCTATCCTATCCTTTCCCTATTGAATTGGCTTAGCACATTTGTCCAAAAACAGTTTTTTTAGGTTCTCAACCCTATTCCATTGTTGCTTATGTCTATCTTTATGTCAGTAATAAAAGCTCATAAAACAGCTGAATGTCATCACTTTGGGAAGAACTGACTTGAGGCCTTGTACGTTAAATGTTAGCATTTCACTTTAATAATTAGAAGCAATCTGAATTCAACCTATATTTTTTTTCTCTTATGTAGAATGTTTAATAGAACTTGAACCAGTTTTGAGAACATTTGAAGAGATAACTTTTCTTGACGCTGTTATTCAGCTAAAGAAAACAAAGGTAAATTGCCAAATGGAATGCTGGAAATTAGAAATTTAAACAACTATATATTATTCATGGAGTTTTTTAGTTAAGTGTAGTTTTTAATATATATACTTTTCACAGATATGAGCTACAGTTTTGGAGTGAGAAAATTTACCAGAGACTATCAATACTACTTTTCCTTTGTCACCAAAAGCTTTTCTATTTCATTCAAATGGCCACCTTCAGGTTTTAAAGACATTTCCAGGACCAGGCGTGGTGACTCACACCTGTAATCCCAGCACTTTGGAAGGCCAAGGCGAGTGAATCACTTGAGCCCAGGAGTTTGAGACCAGCTGGGCCACATAGCGGGACCCTACCTTTATTTAAAATGTAAAAAAAGAAAAAAAAAAAAAAAAAAGACATTTCCAGAACCCTTATATATCAGACATAAATTTAAAAATGTATAATCACAGCCAGTTGTTTACAATGAATGCACTGAGCCATTAGAGGCATTTGTTTGTTTTTTAATGTACATTTATTTTCCTAAAGTTGTAATGCCTAGAGAATTATAGACGTCTGGGTTCTCGCACTTCTCTTTTAATTTAATGTACATTTTTTTCTGACATTCCTTGCCAAGTTTAACTGTAGAATTTTTATTATATTTGAGACCAAAGTGTGTTTGTTTTTTCATTTTTCCTCTCAAACACTTCATGTTTTATAGACCAAGGTAGCAGTAACAGTTGATATGAATTACCTGGGAGAACTGTGTTATTTACTCACTCTGATTCTTGTGGGTCGGAACAATTGAAGGGACTATTACTGCAGGGTTTTTTTTTTTTTTTCCCATTATTACTCAAAATTGTTTAAAAAGCAAAGCAACCACAGTTCATTAAGGCAAGTGCTAAACTATGCTTACTTTGCCCTAACGAACTGTGGTTTGTTAGGAGATGTGGGTTTCATTAAATTGTAGTTAATATACAATATAAAAACCAGCCGTTAGCCAAACTCGTGGGGTGTGAACAAGCAAAATCTACAATTTTTATAACCAAGTGATATTGCTTGCCCCTTGTGGCTTGCTGGATCTAGTGACATAACCCTTGGTTTCAAAGGGAAATACATAAAGGAAGGAACTAAAGAGGAACTGTGTTTTCGTTCTTTTAATAACTTCTCACTGGCTCCACCACTTCTGAGTAGGTAGTGTTTTCCAGAGGATACCAATTTCTCTATTCCTTAATAGATTCAAATTTTTTTTTTAGTTTGTAAAGATGGGGTCTCCCTCTGTAACCCAGGCTGGAGTGCCGTGACAGGATCATAGCTCACTGCAACCTCGAAGTGCTGGGCTCAAGCAATCCTCCTACCTCAGCGTCTCCAGTAGCTTGAAACTACAGGCGTGGGCTACCACACTCAGCTACTTTTTAAATTGCCATATTTTTTCCACTTAGGATTGTTCTTTAAAAAAAAAAAAATCTTGTATCGATTCTGTGATACTTATAGGGTAAGAATATCATCTGATTTTTATAGATGAGATAACTAAGGTACAATAGTCTTCCCTTATCCATGGGAGATACATTCCAAGACCCCAGTAAATGCCTGAAACCATGGGTAACACTGAACCCTATGTATACTGTACATACATACCTATGATATAGACATATATACTTTTCCTATGCATATATACCTATGATAAAGTATAATTTATAAGATAGGCACAGTAATACATTAACAATAACTGACAATAAAATAGAACAATTCTAACAATATTCCAGCATCACTATTCTTGCACTTTGGGCCATTAGTACTAAGAGTTGATTAATTATTAATGAGTTACTTGACCAGCCTAGGCAATGTGGCAAAACCCCATCTCTACAAAAAATACAAAAAAAAAAAACAAACAAAAAAAACTGGGTGTGGTAGCACATGCCTGTAGTCCTAGCTACTCAGGGCTGAGAAAGGAGGGTTACTTGAACCCAGGAGGCAGAAGCTATAGTGAGCTGGCACTCCAGCCAGGGTGACAGAGTGAGACCCTGTCTCAAAAAAAAAAAAGAGTTCCTTGAGTACAAGCACTGTGATCCTGACAGTTGTTCTGATACTGACAGGGTGGTAGCTTATACAGCATGGATATGCTGGACAAAGGGATGATTCACATCCTGGGTGGAATGGAGCTGTAGGGTATGATGTTTCATCATACTACTTAGAACTGAATGTGATTTAAAACTTATGAGTTATTTATTTCTAGAATTTTACATTTAATATTTCGAAACCACAGTTGAGCAGGGTAATAGAAACTGTGAAAAGTGAAACCAAGATAAGATGGGGACTACCGTATAGGGAAGTTAGTCACTTATGTACACCTCACACAGTAAGCTAATGTCAGGGACAACAGTGGAACACAAATTAAATAAGATTCTTCATAAAGAAATTTCTGAGCTAGGTGTGATGGTCCATGCCTATAGTCCCAGTTACTCTGAAAGCTGAAGCAGGAGGATCGCTTGAGCCCAGGAGTTCCAGTCCAACCTGGGCAACATACCAAGACCCTGTCTCTTAAGAAAAAAAAATTCTGAAAGCCAAGATTAGTAGGGAAATTTGTTTTGAGTTTCCTACATTTTTTCAGCTCTTGGAAGCAGCTCCCATAATTTATGTTTTCCTAGGTAATTGGCTTCTATATCTTGAATAATAAACACTGAACAAAAATAGGTTTTTTTCAACTCATTTCTTCTTAGGGACTGATTCACTAGTTCACAAGTAATTTGAATTATCATAACTGATCATTTATGAAAAAGTGTTACTAATTCAAGGATATTGCATTATCAGAAATGTTTTGGCAAATTTTATAAGCACAGAAAAACCTTACATAACAGAGACAAAACCAAAAACTCATTTTAAAGGGTCATGTAACAGTATATTTATAGATGCTTTTTGAACTGCTGTGTATAAAGCCCTGTGCTAGGTACATTATATACACAGATGAATAGGAGTAATTTCCTCCTGAAGTTCCTTAGCCATGTAAATGGAGCATGCAGTCAAAAATGTGCATAATGGATGGCTGGGTGTGAATTCACCAGTTTCCAAATTCTGAAGAATAGTTGGCATTATGATGGTGTGGGGAAGAAAATGATTGATAGGTTTTTAAATCACTGAATAGTGATGGAAACTAATCCAAGCCTAGCTTATATAGACAGGAATAAATCACTTAATTTTAACACAAAAGAATAGTATTTTAAGTAAATCATCTACTCAGCAGCTACCATTTATTGAATGCTTACAAGTAATGTTAGGGCCTTTTTGCGTATATTACTTTTCATTTTCCTTACAGTAATCCTTCAAAATAGGTATTTTTATCTCCAGTGTACAGATAAGTAAACTGAGATTAAATCTAATGTCCCACATCAAACAGATGTGGGAATCTAAATCACATCTGATTGGCTCCATGGCCCCGCCATTCCATTATTGACACTCTACCTCCTTTACTTAGTCTAAGCCTCAATCTCTTAACTATAAAATGAAAATAATAATACTTATAGGCACAGTGCCTAAAATGTGGTAAATACTTTATTATAGATAGACATACAATCACACTCCAAAAAATTTATTAAGTACCTAGTTTATACCAGTTATTTCGTATTTATAAGCTCAATCTCTAGAACCATCCTGCATGTAGGTATTATTAGATTTTAAGGATGAAGCTCTGAGACACTGAGAGAAGGTAACCAATTAATATTAGGTAAGATTCAAAGTCTGTGTTTCTAAAGTTATTTCCCTTGTTCTACACTGTCTCTTCCTTCAGTTATATGTTATATTCCCAACTCTTTATATTTTCTTGCCATGTATTTTGCACAAACATGTAAAATGTGTTAATTAGATTGTATTTCACTTCTATAATTTCCTAATCGCCTCTAGTTAAAGTGTATATGTATTTATGTATTCATTCCAGTTACAGAGTGTTTCAAGTGCCATTCACCTATGTGACAAGAAGAAAATGGAATTATCTCTGAACATACCTGTAAATCATGGTCCACAAGAGGTAAAAAAAAAAAAAAAAAAAAAAAAAAAAGGTTACATTAAACTCAAAATGTGAGAAGAATTTGAAAAAATCATTTGGTCTAAGCCGTTCTTTTATAGAAGGAAAACTAAAGCCCAGGTAGCTTTTAGGATTTGTTTGGTAGCTCATGGCAATCTCCAACTTGAAACCCAGCTCTACTGATTCTCAGTTCATTGTTCATCCCATCAAATCACAATTATTGCTTCTTTGTTTGGCATTGAGTTCTGTCGCTGTCATTGGTTTATACAATAAATGACGTCCCAAGGTAGTATGTAGGCAAATCATTGATTACAGTTTTAACACTATATTTATGCTACCTTGTTCTAACCTCTTATCATAATTAATGAAAGGCTAACATTGCTGCCCAAGAAGAAAGATTTCTTTAGTAGCATTCAGTCAGACTTATATTAGTCTGAATTAGGAATTTCTTTTAAGAATGTATATGTATGTTCATTTTACAGAATCAGAAAAGTAACATAGATTGAGCATCCCTAATCCAAAAATCCAAAGTGCTCTACAATCCAAAACTTTGAACACCAACATGATGCCGCAAGTGGAAAATTCCACACTTGTGTTAGTCTGTTTAGTGTTGCTATAACGAAATACCTGAGACTAGGTAATTTATAAAGAAAAGAGGTTTATTTGGCTCACAATTCTGGTAGCCAGAAAGTTCAGGATTGGGCAGCTGAATCTGATGAGGGCCTTAGGCTGTTTGCAGTCATGTTGGAAAGTGGAAGGGGAGCAAGCTATGCAGAGAAATCACATGGTGAGACAGGATGCAGGAGAGTGAAAATGAGGAAGTCAGGGTCTTTAACAGCTTGCTCTCTCAGGAATCCATTCAGCATTTATAGAATGGCACCACACTATTCATGAAGGATCTTCCCCCATGACCCAAACACCTCCCATTGAGCCTCACCTCCCAACACCACCACATTGGGGATCAAATTTCAACATGAGATTTAGTGGGGACAAATAAACCATATCAAACCATAGCAACATCTGACCTCATATGATGGGTTGCAGTCAAAACATTGTTTCACAGGTGGGCACAGTGGCTCAAGTCTGTAATCCCAGAACTTTGGGAGGCCAAGGTGGGTGGATCACTTGAGGTTAGGAGTTCGAGACCAGCTGGCCAACATGGCAAAACCCCATCTCTACTAAACATACTGGGCATGGTGGCCCATGCCTGTAATCCCAGCTACTCGGGGGGTTGAGGCAGGAGAATTATTTGAGTGAGCCAAGATTGCACCACTGCAGTCCACCCTGGGTGACTCCATCTCAAAAAAAAAAACTTTGTTTCAGGCACAAAATTATTGTAAAATATTGAATTAAGTTACCTTCAGGCTGTGTGTATAATGTATATATGAAACATAAATGAATTTTATATTTAAACTTGAGTCCCATCCCCAAGATATCTCATTATATATATATAAATATTCCAAAATCTGAAAAAAAGTCCAAAATTCCAAACACATCTGGTTCCAAGCATTTCAGATAAGGGATACTCAACCTGTAGTGTCTTCAAAACTAACCTTAAAAATAGTATATCACTTTTTTAATCACTTGATGTACAGTATTTCATTTGATCCTTGAGCCCATTCGTGCATATTTTTAAATAGACAATGCGGATAATACAGCCAAAAACCTGAAAGCCAGAGAGTTTAAATGCCTTATTGAAAGTTAGCTAGTAATTCCATGACAGCTAGGAGTAGAGTTCTCCATTACTTTTTCCATGGCTTCCTGTGCCTCCATGTGGAAGGAACCTGAGGTGCTGAGAACAGGCATTTCTAAATCTGTAGGAGACCAGACTTGCAGATACCAAATTTCTCATTCACTATTCTAGTTACTGGCCACAGCCTCTGAGATCATGTAGAAAATACTGAAAAAAATAATTATTCTGATGTTACATTATTCCCCTATTTCCCCCATTTGTGTTAATTAAGAAAATAAGTTTATCTTTGTTGGTTATTTTATAGACGTATGTGTTTCTTTAATTTTGTAAAGTATAATTTTTAGTACTTTTGTAGGCTGGGCACAATGGCTCACACCTGTAATCCCAGCACTTTATGTGGCCAAGGCTGGTGGATCACTTGATTGCAGGAGTTTGAGACCAACCTGGGCAACGTAGCGAAACCCCATTTCTACAAAGAATACAAAATTTAGTGTGGTGTGGTGGTGTGTACCTATAATACCAGCTATTCAGGAGGCTAAGATGGGAGGTTCACCTGAGTTCAGGAGGGCAGGGCTGCAGTAAGCCTAGGTTGTGCCACTGCACTCCAGACTGGGCAACAGAGTGAGACCCTGCCTCAAAAAAAAAAAAAAAAAAAAAATTAGTAGTTTTTATCTTCATTTGTGATAAGCCACAAACAAGAACTATTTAGAAATTAAAGCTCTATAATTTTTATTAACCTAAACCCTTTATTTTCTATTTACTTTAGGAATCATGTGGATCCTCTCAGCTCCATGAAAATAGTGGTTCTCATGAAACTTCAAGGTCCCTGCCAGTTCCTCAAGACAATGATTTTTTATCTAGTATGTAAATTTTCCAATCATTATTTACTTGCAAGTCTTCCATTTTCTTTCAAGATCATATTTCTGGCAAGCAGTCACGATTTCTATGGAACTTTAATTTGCATTTATAACTCATGTTTTAAAGTGACAGAGTCTAAAGATATGAAAAAATAGTAGTGTGATATTCAACAAATACATTTAAGTTTTAAAGCATTATGTTTGGCCAGGCGCAGTGGTTCACACCTATAATCCCAGCATGTTGGGTGGCCAAGGTGGGCAGATCACCTGAGGTCAGGAGTTCGAGACCAGCCTGGCTAACATGGTGAAATCCCATCTCTACTAAAAATACAAAAATTAGCCAGTCATAGTGGTGGGTACCCATAGTCTCAGCTACTTCAGAGGCTGACACAGAAAGACTGCTTGAACCCGGGAAGGAGGTTGCAGTGAGCCGAGATTGCACCACCGCACTCCATCCTGGGTGACAGAGTAAGGCTCTATGTCAAAAAATAAATTTTTTAAAAATGGCATTATGTTAGACACTGCCAGAAAATGTCCACAAAAAAAATCTTTTATAAGTAAAAGAAGTGTTTCTAAATAACTATTATATGAGATGGAAAGTGATATAAGAGAGACATAGATCTAGAGCTATGGTAGTATGGGAAGAGTAACACTGTACAAAGGACTTGCACAACAGCTTTGTGAGAGAAATGTCCTCATTTTACAGATTTAAGGACTCTGGATCACATAGCTAGTTGCTGGCACATCTAAGACTTTTAATAAATATTATCGTGTCACTCTACTCTACCATGTTGTCATCATGAAATTATTTCTGGCTAAAGGCTGCATCTGCAATAACAAAGGATAGGCATTCCAGGGAAAAGGAACAACATACAGGTACAGAAGCAAGAACATACAGAGAACAGTGAGTAATTTGGTTTAGCTAGTAAAGAAGATGAATGAAAGAAGATAAAAGCTAAGTAGATTGGAGTCATATCATCAGGAATTCTAACCTTCAGCTAAACTATTTGGACTTTTTTACTTGAGTAGGAAGCAACTATTGCAATTTTTTGAGCAAGGCAATGACATAAAATTTTTTACTTTGGGAAGATTCATTCTGGCTGGAATGTGTAGGATATTTTGAAAGGAAAAGGAAACTTGAGATGGCAAGATCAGTTAGGAGACTATTACTGTAGTACCCATGAGAGATTATTAAGAACCGATATAGAGTGAAAGAAAGGAGGGGTGGTATATGAGATGTTATAGACAACTAGATGATAGGACTTTGTAACTTTTCACTTATAGGAGCGATGAGAGAAAAAAGCAGTAAAGCCAAATAAATTGTTAAGCCTAGGGACTGGGAGAATGTTGGTGCCATTTAAAAGAAATAGAAGTTAAAACAGGTTGCATGTGGTGGCTCACACATGTAATCCCAGAATTTTGCAAGGCCAAGGTGGGCAAATCACTTGAGGCCAGGAGTTCAAGACCAGCCTGGCCAACATGGCAAAACCCCATCTCTACTAAAAATACAAAAAAATTAGTGGGTATGATGGTGCACACCTGTAATCCCAGCTCCTCGGGAGGCTGAGGCACAAGAAACGCTTGAACCCAGGAGGTAGGGGTTGCAGTGAGCTGAGATTGCGCCACTGCACTCCAGCCTGAGTGACAGAGCAAGACTGTCTCAATTAAAAAAAAAAAAGAAGAAGTTAAAACAAGTTTTAGAGTTAAGAAACATTACACTTTCAATGTTTTTTGTTTTTTGTTTTTAATTTGAGGTACTAGGAGCACACAAAGTGTTGATGTCCAGAGGGCTTTTGAAAATATAAGATTAAGGTTCACGGCTGGGTGTGTTGGCTCACAACTGTAATCCTAGAACTTTGGTAGGCTGAGATGGGCGGATCACCTGAGGTCAGGAGTTCGAGACCAGCCTGGCCAACATGGTGAAATCCCATCTCTACTAAAAATACAGAAATTAGCCAGTTGTGGTAGCATGGAACTGTAATCCCAGCTACTTGAGAGGCTGAGGCAGGAGAATCTCTTGAACCTGGGAGGTGGAGGTTGCAGTGAGCTGAGATCACAACCATTGCACTCCAGCCTGGGTGACAAACTCCAAAAAATAAAAAATGGGGGGAGGGGGGGAGGGAGGGAGGGAGGGAAGGAAGGAAGGGAGGGAGGGAGGGAGGGAGGGAGGGAAGGAAGGAAGGAAGGAAGGAAGGAAGGAAGGAAGGAAGGAAGGAAGGAAGGAAGGGGGTGATAAATCAAAAATTCCGGGAGGGGAGGAGGAGGAGGGGCGCAGGCGGAGGAGGAGGGAGGAGGCAAGGGCAAGGGCGCGGGCATATATAGTGGCGGGATATACATACAAGGAAGGAAGGAAGGAAGGAAGGAAGGAAGGAAGGAAGGAAGGAAGGGAGGGAGGGAAGAAAAGAAAGAATATATAAGGCAAAAGTTCAATGTAGACAGAAAATGTAATTGTGTGGATTGGGGAATAGAGGTGATGATTAAGTCCCTGAGGCTGAGTGGGATTCCCAGAAGAGAAAGTAGAAAGACAGACATCATATATAGATTTAGAGAACATACTTAAACTTCAGAAGGAGTAAGACGACACAGGAAAAATATGGGACTATGTGAAGAAGTAAAATTCTATGATTTATAATTTACATAGGACAGACAATTGCTGACAGAAATTGTAGTGAAAGCATTCCATATAAACCCTTTTTTGTTTTAAGAAATATCTACTTGCAGAATTAGGTTTCTGAACTAGCCTTAATATTAGTGGAAACTAAAGACATTGGAGCCTACCTTCTGTCTGCTCAGATGTTGACATGTTAGCCAACAGGAACTTCTAAGGCGTATTCCACCTCTAATGAAGATGTTGCATTTTGTAGGAAAAACTCAACACTGTTCTTTTATGATGCTGCATCGCTGTCCTGGAAATCACAGTTGGGATAGCACCATTTCTGCGTCTCAAAGGGCTGCATTCTGTGATCAAAAGACCACTCCATGCTCTTCAGCAATAATAAATCCACTCTCAACTGCAGGAAACCCAGGTAAATATTTACTGTGAAACACCTTGTAAGTGATGCCATTTAGCTTACATATTTATGTTCAGTGGGTTTACCATACAGTGAGATTTATTTGTCTTTATTTCCTCAATATGATAAATACATACCTTCTTAAGTAGGAAAACAAATCCCAGGAGATGGGAACGATGACATGGCCTAAATGGTGTTCTGTGAACATCTAAATAGGGAGGCAGTACTAAAAGGAGGTATTAACATATTACTAATTAACAAATTTGCAGGTATCTTTTATATTTGAAACAAAATGGGCATTAAACAAAACTGAACAAATCCTAGAAGATGGGAATGATGACATAAAGTGGTTTTTGCCCCATGATTTATACCATATAAAAAGGCAGTGCCTTTTCTGGGGAGTGAGGGGGAGATAGCCCAAATCTCTGAGTTTCCTGAAAAATGATAGCATTCCCCCAGATACTGGTGTTCCATATTGGCACAATCATAGGAAAATTAGGTTTTATGCTTTATTGATTTTTCATGGAATTTTACTTATTGCTATGTATCTGTCCTCACCTTTTAAATATTAATTCCTTGCTCTTTTTCAGAACGTCTGCAGCCTGGTATAGCCCAGCAGTGGATCCAGAGCAAAAGGGAAGACATTGTGAACCAAATGACAGAAGCCTGCCTTAACCAGTCGCTAGATGCCCTTCTGTCCAGGGACTTGATCATGAAAGAGGACTATGAACTTATTAGTACCAAGCCTACAAGGACCTCAAAAGTCAGACAATTACTAGACACTACTGACATCCAAGGAGAAGAATTTGCCAAAGTTATAGTTCAAAAGTTGAAAGATAATAAACAAATGGGTCTTCAGCCTTACCCGGAAATACTTGTGGTTTCTAGATCACCATCTTTAAATTTACTTCAAAATAAAAGCGTGTAAGTGACTGTTTTTCAAGAAGAAAAGTCGTTTTATAAAAGGATATTTATATCTCTGTTGCTTTGACCTTTTTTTAAATATAAAATCGTGAGTATTAAAAGCTTTATTGAAGGTTCTTCTTTGGGTAAATATTAGTCTCCCTCCATGACACTGCAGTATTTTTTATTAATTAATACAAGTAAAAAGTTTGAATTTTGCTACATAGTTCAATTTTTTATGTCTCTTGTTAACAGAAACCACTTTTAAAGGGTAATAATTATTATTCTTGTTCATAACAGTGCCTTAAGGTATGTCGTATTTCTGATAGAAGCCATTTTCACATTCATGTTCTTCGTGGATTATTTGTTACTCGTCTAAGATGCAATTTGATTTTATGAAGTATATACCGTTTTACCCACCAGAAACAGTACAGAATCTCTGCCCTAAAATCCCAGGCTTAATTGCTCTACAAAGGCTTATTAATTTAAAACTCCATTAATAGGATTACATTTTAAAGTTTTATTTATAAATTCCCTTTAAAAAAGATATTTCAAAGGTAAAACAATACAATATAAAAAAATAATAAATATATTAATACCGGCTGTCTGTCTCCATTTTTAACCTCAGCCTTCCCTACTGTCACCAACAACCAAGCTAAATAAAATTAACAGCCTGATGTTTATCCTTCTGTCCCTTTCTTCCTGCTTATATTTAGAACATATGCTCATTTGGGAAAGGATCTTTTCTGCATATTATTATTATAATAATACATCATACTGCAACCTGCTTTTTGCATTTAATAGTACAGCCTTCCAGATCAGATATGGCTCTAACTTACTCTTTTTACTTGCTGCCTAATACCCACACTGTTTTTATTTTCTTAACTTGTCTGTATCAAATTTAGCCGAAACAATAAAAGTACAGTGTGAGCACTTTTTTGGTTAATGGGTTATATTACTATATGAGAACTTACAAGGAATAATAGCCGTTATCTGAAACCGCATAGCAAAGTCAGCAGAAAGTGAGATACAGAGTAAATTTGAAAAGATGAACTTTCAAGAAGCAACAGACTCAAACCTGAAAAAAGTTTGAATAAATGAAATTAGATGGCATTGAGGCAATTAAATATTTTATTAGAAATATAAGTATTTTAATCTACATTTTAGCGCTTGACATTAACTTGTAGCTCTTACTGTGCCTTTCAGAAATATGGAAATCTATTAATTTCCATATTTGGAAATTAAATGAAAACTGAACACATGAGTTATCCATTAAATTTTAAAAAGCATTAAGATACAAATTTTATTTGTGAAGTAAAAAATAGAGAAAAAAATCTTTTAGAAGCTTTCCCTTTTCTCTATACATACTCTTAAAAGAAATTATTTTGAATTTCGATGGCCTCAAATTGACTTTTATACTGATTTCATGAGGTATATCTGGATTGATAAAATGAACTTTGCCCTGTTTTTTATTCTCTGCAAAGATCTAAAAACTCATAGTCTGTGTGCTTTATGGCTATGTGCTTACAGCCACTTTCTCCCACACTTTACTGTATGGAAGACACACGTGTAGTCATCCATCATCACAGCTATGCAAACTTTTTCTGCATAAATAATAACATGTTAATAAGAAGATGTCAAGGATTAAGATGAATCTGCAATGAGCTCTCATCATCTCTTCATGGGATTGTTAAAATCTCAGCAGTTGGTTTTTATTATAACCCCTATTTAGTAACTGCTACTTAGGGGAAGATGAGACAGATTATGTTGAGTATGACTAGTTAGTGTACAACAGGGTCTGGCATAGAGTAGACACTTTCTGAATAACTCTTTAATGAATAGTGTAATGGAATGAAAAAATAGAGAAGGGGAGATGTTTCCTTTAAATCTTATTTCCCAAAATGTAGTGCAAGCACAGCTAGTAGTAAGTGGGATTATTTTAGGTCATATGTAGGCTTACCACAAAATGGCATCTGAGTCACTTAGTAAAGGACATTCTTTTCCATTCTTTTTTGAGCCTTATAATTAAATAAAGGAGAATATCTCAATTTTTGTGCTAACATCTTTTTATCCCTCTTGTTAACAAAATGAGAATAGGCTTTAGGCTCAGAACTTCAGAAACAATATTAGCAAGAATTTTATGGGTTTTTTATTACATTCTATTTGAAATTTATACTTCTACATATGACAAGTAATAGTTTTCTGTTTTTACTAAAGTTTTATTTCATAATATTTAAATAAAGACAATTTAAGTACTATTAAGTAAATTATAATGTAGATAGGACGTGAATGTGCCAACAATCATAGAAGTAGTAAGAAAATGACAGATTAAAATTCAGTCGCTCCAGGAAAGGACCTAGTAATTTATTTTTTAACTAGCTAGTACTAGATAATGCTAGAGGTGTCATTCCTTGCAGTGGATTTTAAGACAGTGCTACCCAGAAGTAGAGTCCACAGACTGGCTACATTTAGCATCACCTGTAGCATGTTAGAAATGAAACTTCATGACTCCTATCTCAGACCGACTGAATCAATCTCGGGGTGAGGTCTAGGAATCTGTTTTAACAAACTCTCCAAGCGATCTTTACTCATGGTAAAGTTCAAGACCCTTTATTTTAAGAAATACTATAGATTTGTACATAAAATAATTTCTCTCTAGGTTCACAGATGTGTTTTCATGAAGTCTGATAGCCACATGCCTTCAGACTGTACACGCTGAGATGATGTTTGATTACAAAATTTTACTTTTGTTTTGCATCCAATTTGAATTCCCAAAACAATTTTAACATGCTTTGAATTCTGGAAAGATAGCTTCACTTAAACATGAAAATCATGGCCAAGCGCGGTGGCTCAAGCCTGCAATCCCAGCAGTTTGGGAGGCGGAGGCGGATGGATCACAAGGTCGGGAGATCGAGGCCATGCTGACAAACACGGTGAAACCCCGTCTCTACTAAAAAATACAAAAAACTAGCCGGGCGTGGTGGCGGGCGCCTGTAGTCCCAGTTACTTGGGAGGCTGAGGCAGGAGAATGGCGTAAACCAGGGAGGCGGAGCTTGCAGTGAGCCAAGATCACGCCACTGCACTCCAGCCTGGGTGACAGAGCGAGACTCCGTCTCAAAAAACAAAAAACAAAACAAAACAAAAAACCATGAAAATCAGATCACTATATTAGAATCTACAACTCAGTTCTTTAGGGAAGAACTTCAGAAGGGGCAAATGCTTGAATTATGACAGCAGTAGAGCTGAGCTGATATAAGAGGATCAATACAAGAAGGGAGACTAAGTTATGCTGAAAGTCATACCAAAGAAATTTGCATAACTATGAAAGATTTGGATGTTGCAGCAGTTGTGTCAAGCCGTGGGGGCTGTTTTTTATTTCTCTCTACCATTAATCTGCCTACCCTCAGCCCCTTCAAATACTTAATTTATGAAGAAAAAAATATGGCCAACTGGGAGAGAAGGAAAATCAGTAAACGTTCATATTTAGCCATTCTCACAAACATGTTTCGGCCAGGCGCGGTGGCTCACGCCTGTAATCTAAGCACTTTGGGAGGCCGAGGCGGGTGGATCACCTGAGGGCAGGAATTCGAGACCAGCCTGGCCAACATGGCGAAAACCCGTCTCTACTAAAAATACAAAAATCGCACCATTGCACTCTAGCCTAGGAGACGAGCGAAATTCCATCTCAACAACAACAACAACAAAAGTAATGTGTTTCTTCAAAATTGTGCCTCCCATCTCCCACACAGCCTAGTTCTCAAATTACCTGTTGCTTTTTCTCTCTCCACTGGATCATTTCTTTTCAAACACCCAGATTTCCTTTAAAAACAAAATTTCTTTACTTAACCTATCTATCCTTTTTCATTCTTTTCAAGGAGTTTATTCTACACGACCTCTATTTTGTTACCTATTTCTTTGTTTAAAATTTGATGTCATGTAATTAACGAATGGGTTGAAAGGAACAAGTGTGCATCTGATGCTTCAAAATCCTCTACCCAAAAGATGTTAATAGACGTTTATCTCATGAGTAAACACTTCCATACATTAAGGGGGAAGCTTATTAGTACTATCCATACTTTTTTTTTTTTTTTTTTTTTGAGATAGAGTCTCACTCTGTCACTCAGGCTGAAGTGCAGTATTACTATCTCAGCTCACTGCAACCTCTGCCCCTCCAGGATTCAAGCAATTCTTCTGCCTCAGCCTCCCGAGGAGCTGGGACTACAGGCGCCCACCACCACTCCCAGCTAATTTTTGTATTTTTGATAGAGACGGGGTTTCACCATCTCGGCCAGGCCGGTCTTGAACTCCTGACCTCGTGATCCACCTGCCTCAGCTTCCCAAAGTACTGGGATTACAGGTGTGAGCCACCGCGCCTGGCCAGTACTATCTATACTTTCATACACTGATTTAAAAATTGATTTCCAGCCAGGCACAGTGGCTCACGCCTGTAATCCTAGCATTTTGGGAGGCCGAGGCAGGTGGATCACGAGGTCAGGAGGTCGAGACTATCCTGGCCAACATGGCGAAACCCCGTCTGTACCAAAAATACAAAAATTAGCCGGGCATGGTGGCATGCACCTGTAGTCCCAGCTACTCAGGGGGCTGAGGCAGGAGAATCTCTTGAACCCGGGAGGCAGAAGTTGCAGTGAGCCGAGATCGTGCCACTGCACTCCAGCCTGGGCAACAGAGCGAGATTCCATCTCTAAATAAATAAATAATAAAAATAAAAATGGATTTCCCTGTAGTATGTATCAACTTGTCCTGATTCCAACCCTTGGAATATTTTATAGGGTAAATCTAATCCCTCTTCTACGACAGTATCTTATATATTTCCAAGGAGTTCTTTTATTTCTGGTGATTTTTTTTTTTTTTTTTTTTTCTGCTTCAGAAGAATTCCTACTTTCTTCAGTGGTTATTTAAGAGGCATGGTCTATATTCCTCTCAAAGTATGGTAGCCACAACTAACACGGTGCTCCTACTTAGGTCTTGCCAGCACAGTTAGGATATCTGCTCCATTATACTTAAATAAAATGCTAACGGACCATTTTATAGTAGTCACATGTTATTGTCAAATTAATATTTAACTACCAGCTAACAAATTCTTCATCTGTACACCTGTGTTGTTTTGCCTTATTTCTCCACTTTTCAAAGAGGTAAATTGAATTTTTAGGCTCATATATAACAATTTGCCTTTATCTCTTTTTTTTTTTTTTTTTTTTTTTTGAGATAGAGTCTTACTCTGCCGCCAGGCTGGAGTGCAGTGGCACGATCTCGGCTCACTGCAACCTCAGCCTCCTGGGTTCAAGCGATTCTCCTGCCTCAGCCTCCCAAGTAGCTGGGATTACAAACAGGTGCCACCACATCCAGCTAATTTTTGTATTTTTAGTAGAGATGGGGTTTCACCATGTTGGCCAAGATGGTCTCGATCTCTTGACTTCATGATCCTCCCTCCTCGGCCTCCCAAAGTGCAAAGTGCTGGGATTGCAGATGTGAGCCACAGCGCCTGGCCTATCTTTTTTTCTAATTCATCCCTAGTTCCAGTCATTCAATACATTTTTTTATCCCTAAATCTGGAATCTTCCAGCTTGTCATCCACAAATTGG